TCCCCGCTTTACGATTATGGCTAAATCTTTGTTACGTGCAATGGCCTTAAGGTTAGGTATTACTGCAATGTGTACGTACATGTGCAGATCTATAGTAACGTGTATAATATTTTATACTGTTTGAAAACAGAGTATGAATACTACTAAATAAATATCCAAATATATTGGGTACATGTTAATATATTTATATTATTACAATAATAATATACTACAAAAATAATACTACTGTACTCTGTGATTACATTGAATATTTTATGACAGTAAGAAAATGGGAAGTTTAATAGGCGTACGTTTCTGTGCCAATACTCAGTTAAGAAGTTATGCAGTAATCTCAGCATTAAAACCGATAAAAAAATATGTACATTATTGTTCATCAAATAAAGGAATACATTGTCTCCAGAGCCAGCGAAGGTCTCTGCAAATCGGTCAATGTTGTGACATTTTTTATTTTTCATTTTACAATTGCGTCAAAGTGAATAATGCAAGAAACTTTTTGACGACCTCTATGCTGTCAAAAAGCAAAAACCGTGGCGAAAAGAAGCAAAAGACACAGCATATTGATTATAATGAGTTCGAACAAGTTGTTGATGTTAATAAATTGGTATCTCAACTCGACAAGGCAATCGAAGACTTGAAAAATGACTTTGCTCAGCACTTGTCAGTAAGATCAAGTATAGGTGCTATTGAGATGTTACCCATTAAATTTGAAGGCAAAGATTACACATTGCAAGAGCTTGCACAAATTAGTCGTAAACCTAAATTGGTAGTGTTGAATGTATCTACCTTTCCACAAGCTATTCCAGATATTCTGAAGAGCCTTATGAAGAATCAGATGAAGCTAAATCCGCAACAGGATGGGACTACAATTTATGTTCCTATCCCTAAGTAAGTTTTTTAAAGAAAATATTACTATCTTATTATAAAAAAGAAAATGTCTTCAAACTTCCATAATTTTTATAGTTATTAAAAGCCAGAATATATTATAGTTTTGAATATTTTTTCAAGTTTAAGAAAAAATTGAATTATATAAATATTCTTATGATGCTGATGTATTTTCAGAAAAAAGTATGAGGGTATTATTAATTATATTTTTGTAAAATTGTTTATTAAATTCTATAAGCAACATGTAATAAAAGTTTATAAGTAAAATAGCATGTAATTAGCTGTTTAATTAGTTATTTATTTCTATGTCATCTATTTATAAAATAAAATTAATATAAAAATATAATAACTGAACATAACTATATATTATTCTGGCTCAGATTACAATTAGATTAGTACAAAAACATTTACATATGTTTTTACATTACAGAGTAACAAAGGAACACAGAGAAACCTTAAGTAAAAACGCAAAAAGCTTTTATGTGAAATGTTGTGACCATGTTAGACAGATACGCAATAAACAAATTAAGGTAGTAAAGCAAAAGGAGAAACTAGCTAAAGATCTAGTATTTAGAATAGAAAATTATATAGATATTCTTAGTCATCAGTATGTAGATAAAGCTGAACAAATGTTGGAAACCAAACAAAAAGAGTTATTAGGCGATTCTGAATAAAATTATTTGATTTCAACAATTAGCAATTTTTTATTTGAATTATATCGCTAATTGGTGTATGGAAATGTATATCTATAATATTTAATTATGTAATAAAAAGAAATATATATATTCCCTTTTATAATACATTTCCTTATCCTATTCTTTTATATATATATAATATATCTATATAAAATCGATTTTTTAAATTCTTTCTTGACAAACTTTTCATAATAATTTCTTTACCCCAATTTCCATCTTCAATACTCCTTTTACTTCATTTTTTTATTTATCATGTTTATATAGCCGTTTCTTTTTCTCTTCCTCAATTCAGCTCTGACAAATTTATTCTTGCTTTATTTTTCCTTTAATCTTTATTTTTTTATTGTTGAATTATCTCCTGCAATGCCTCGCCAAAAAATATCTCTTGATTTTTTTTCAACAATCTTCCTATCCTCTTTAAAAAGGATAAAATTTTATAGAGAGACTATATTAGCATATTTCATTACATTATTGGAAGGCATGCAAATAACGATTTAATATACTTAATATATTGACACTTATATGTCATATTTCCATAAAATATTCCACATTTTATTTGGATTATACTTGAATATACTAGGTTTATCTTCGTGCTTATTTCTATTCTCATATTAGTCTTATCAAATTTTAGTTATATCATCTCTATATATCAGAGACACGGACAATTAGTCAATAAAATGACTATTGCAAAAAGAAGAGATAATATGTAGTATAAAAATAAAACTTATTGTAAATCAGAGATAAATATATTACATATATACACATTGGCATACATTTTAAAATGTTTAAAATTACCATATACTATATAAATAAATTATAAATATAAATAAAGAGAGAGGGAATAATATTAATATAAAAAAATAAATTTTTCTAATATAAAAATACAAATTAAATAATAATATTTTAATAATAATATTATTTTATAGGTATTATAATAAAATTAAAAATATATATTTAGTATTTTAAATTGAATATTAAATAATATTTAATATATATTATTAATATTATATTATGCTATTAATATAATAACATTTACATTTATTGTATTATTTATAATATTTAATAGTAATGTGTTATACTATGATTAGTAAAATATATAACAATATGCAGGGTGCTTAAAAAATGTTAACACTATGGAAGTAACTTTTTCTAGAAAAACAGAACTGATAACACAAGATATCATAGTAACAAATGTATTTTACTTTAAAGAGTCTTCACTTATTTACATTCTATTATTCACCATCGATTGTCAATACAACTTTGGAATCTTCTCCAGGTGATCTCCAGAACTCTGAGGCACGTTTCTTTGTATTGTTGTAATTTGTAATCACATTTACAATTTTCTGTTGGAGATTGCGTGATTTCTGGCTGTAGAAGATGGTAAAATAATGGTGTTTATCCTACGAAGCCATGTAATTACGTACAAGATCTCCAACCAAAAATTGTAGATGTGATTGTGAACAATATCCAAAGAGATGTGCCTCAAAGTACTGAAGACCACTTGGAGAACATTGCAAGAATGTGTTTTGACAATGGTGAACAAGTGGAGACTCTTTGAAGGCAAAATACATTTGTTACTTTGTAAGATATCTTGTGCCATATCAGTTCTGTTTCTCGTTTCAAAAAAGTTACTTCCATAAGTGTTAACGTTTTTTTAAAGCACCCTGTAAATTACTTTATTTAAAATTTAAAAATATGTATTAACATAATACACATTATTGATGTAAATAACATATTATTGTACTATACTAATATATTATTGTATATTTTAATATTAATAATTATTATCAAACATATTACATATATTTAGAAAAACTATTAAACATACATACCCCATACTCGGGACATACTCGGAGACATACTCGGAAAAAAAGGATTTGCTACTATAGCAAAAAAATTTGCTATTATAGGGCCAACTAACATTTTTCGCAGCGAGAGCTATTAATTTTGCAATAATAGCAAAACCTTTTGTAGCAATAGCAAAAAGTTTTGCTGAACTTTCGCTACTTTAGTAATAATTACAAAAAGATTTTGCTACTATGGCTAAATTACACCGGTCAACAAAATCTTATCGTTTTTCAGATTGCTTTTATGAGAATAAGTATTTTATACTAATTTGGTTGCGCTGAACAAGAATCTAGTCTTGAAAATACTAACAAGAGAACCTCGCGAAGTGGAAAATTCTGATTTTAATATAACTTTCCACACATGTAGGGAGAGTAAAAAGATGAATTTAGATATTTTTTGTAGCTGCCCAAAAACGGTTTTAAGGGGTGAAACCACTGCTCATAGTAGAGCGGTTTTTTGCTTTTCTCGATATATCTCGAGAAATATTTGAGATATCAAAAAATGTTTCAAATAAAAGTTTTATGGTAAAAACATCTCTATTTACACATTAATAAAATTTTGAAAAAAAAAAAAAAAAATTTTGTTTAAAAAATTATTTTTAAAAAATATAATATTAATGTTGTTGAATAGAGGAGATTTTACCATAAAACTTTTATTTGAAACATTTTTTGATATCTCGAATACTTTTCGAAATATATCGAGAAAAGCAAAAAGCTGCTCTACATATGAGGAGTGGTTTCACCCCTTAAAACCGTTTTTGGGCAGCTACAAAAAATATCTAAATTCACCTTTTTACTCCCCCTACATGTGTGAAAAGTTATATTAAAATCAGAATTTTCCACTTCGCGAGGTTCCCTTGTAAGTCGTATCTGGTTTTTTAAATAAATGGGGTGAAAAGTGCTAAAAAACGTGTTTTCGGTCATTTTTTAACACAGTAGAAAAACAACAATTTCCTGAAACATTCTAATTGGGATGAAATAAAAGCTTGAAACCTTGTCATTTTAGGTTTCAGATCGAAATAGGTACCATTAACTTGAGGTACTCTGCAGTAACAGTTTTTTTTCGAATTTTTTATACGAGCCGCGTGCACTGTTCTCTCCGCTCTCCAACTATTTTATCATTTCGTATTAAATTTGAGAGTGATTTACTGTTGTTGATTTTAAATTTGTTATACGTTTTATATTAGATTATAGCTATTATAGCTCTAGTTTTCGAGACAATTAAGCTTCCTCTTAGAAAGCATAAAGGAACGGTACAAGAAAACTAAAAATTAAAGTATGTTAGCTGACAGTGTGCAATAATTTTCTAGTTTCTTTTTTTTCACAAAATTAAACAAACAAAGCATTGAAAAGTATTGTGTGCGCGCGGCCAGGAAAGCATGTGGCGGAATCGGCGCGCGCTCGTATAAAAAACTGTTACTGAGTACTTTAAGTTAATGGCAACTAATATTTCAACCTATAGCCTAAAACGGCATAGTTTAAGCTTTTATTTCATGCCAATCAGAAGATTTCAGGAGCTCCTGTTGTTTTTCTACAGATATTAAAAAATGGCCTAAAACACGGTTTTTTGCACTTTCGATCCCGTTGCTTAAAAACTAGAGCCAATTTATTATTTTCATTTTTAAATTCGGATTTTACGAGAAAAAATCTATCAGAATCAGTTACGAAAAGGAGTAAATGACGCTAAGTGATCGCGAGGTGGCCACAAAATATTAATTGTCTTCATATAAACAAATTGCATTCTATAAACAATAATAAGTTTGCTCTTTGGTTATTCATTACTCTCTAATTGTGCCTTTTAAAGCCTCGTACCCTATGCCTAGATATACATATCCCGAGGCGAAAATTTAAGTCATACAAGTCATCATTAAATGCGACACATGCTTAATTCTATTGTTCTTTTCCGTTTACGAATGCTCCGCATCATATTCTCAATGCTCCATAGTCTGCAGCTCGTTCGAGTTGCGTACATAATATTAACAAAACCAGTGCTCCAAGAGCTGCTTGTTAAAGAAATACGACTTTGGAGCACGTGTAATACATAATATAATTAAATGCTACAAGTGTGCTACCTTTTGAGCATTTGTATGACATATATTTTCACCTCGGGATATAAGAAAAAGAAACAAAAACTATTGGAAGTATTGCAAATTGGGCGTTAATAACAAGAAACATCGCTTTTGAGCGTTTTTCACATAACTCTTATTCCATTCCATAAGTTGATATCTGGCGGCATTGTTATGTTATTATAAACCTTCTAATAGAAATCGGATCATGACAGATTTTTTACTGATTTTTTATTGGTCAAGCATTTACATTTATTGATATTCTATTGAAAATGGTCTCGGCCATTGAAAGGGACGTCAATATACTCTATACAAATGTATTAATTGAGGACTCCACTATGTGGGGGATGGTAGAATGAGATAAAAAGGTGAGATGAGAATGGTAGAATGAGATGGTAGCTGGATTTCCAGGAGTTTCCATTCGGAAAGGGGATATCCAGCATGCGCAGAGATACATTTAGACACATTGCGCAGTCCACGATCAATAGACGCAACATTTTGAGGGGCTCGTCCGGGAATCCGGGATAGCGTCAGCCATCGACCCTCGGTCGGAAACGCCGCTGGTCTTGCATCAGTTACGCGAGGACCAGACACGAAGAAAGGTGGAGTTCCCGGCGATGCTGCGCTAACGAGCTAAAGAACTTCAGCGAATTCAAGAGATACTACAGATAAGTCCTTCCTTAACTTGATAACGGGCGTCGATTTTTACATCTCAATTAAAAATTATTGTTGTTAATTACATATTGCATATTTTTGATTATTCCATAATTTATTAGTATTTGAAAACAATATGTATAGATTTACTCAACAATTTCTAAGAAAAGTAAGGAGAAACAAAACAAGTAAAGTGTGCAAGTAGAAACTTGCACATTGCTTCCTCATAGTTATTAAGTGTGCAAGCATTAATTTTTTTCAATGTATAATTTTCAGTATTTATTTGTTTTGGCTTCCTCATAGAGGAAGCTTTGTGTGCGAAGGTTTCTACTTAAACACTTAAAAACTCTAATCAAGCAATGTGCAGGTTTCTACTCGCACACCTAACTCTTTAGGAGCCTGTATACATAATTATGTACATTCACTAAAATAAAAAAATAAAAATATACTTGCCCACTTAAAAACTGAACCAATATGCAGATTTCTACTCGTTTCTACCCCTGTTT